GATTAGCATTTGTTGGATATGTGTAAAATTATGTGTGTTGATATATCAACTGTCTTTACATGCTTGAAAGAATAAATCAAATCTAATCAAATCAAATCACCTGCGCTCCCCTCTGTCTGCTTCCTTTGCCATTTTTGCTCTACCAGCAGGTACAGTAGTTGTCGACTTGCCTCCCACCTGGGTGTTAATTACAGTGCCTTCAACATGGGTTGGGTGGATGGGTAGTGGTGAGGGGATAGCTCTTTAAGAACATTTGTTACTGACCAGTGCCATTTATTTTTGACAGAGCAGAGGGCTGCAATGAGGAGAACCGGAAGGGAGAGCCGTTCCAGCTCAGTGCCTGCCTGTCGGACTCAAGCAGAGGTGAATGAGACAGCCCGTCAGGGGGTTGAAGCGCGAAAAGCATCTGATAATGAGCAGATGTCATGATATTTGGCTCAAGAAGAGAGAATGGAGTTTAACCTTCAGTAAACTTGATATGTGAGGGAAGATCTGCTCACCACCAGATACGTAGTTTCAAATTCAGCAGATGGGAGAAAAGCTGGTCAGTTCTAATTTACTCTGTCATGAGTCCTAGTCAGGGTACAGATCAAATAACACATCCAATTCTAAAGGAATATAGTGTGAGAGGAGGAAGAGGGGTCAAATGCAACAAGACAGTGCACAAATACACATGCATGTGCACAATGACGGGGACAATTTTGTTATAAATCTTAATTGATCATATACAAAAATGCCTCATTCATATAGTAAAGTTCAGTGACAGTTGAAAACCGTTGCTTATTAATGTGACTGTAAGAACTACACAGCTGGTTTTTGCTGTTGTTGTTTTACCTTATATGCTGTTCCATACAGTACTGTATTAGATTATGAGGAGGGATGTAGTGGTGCTTTAGGATGCCATTAACCAACTTGTACCTACTTTACCTGCAAAATGCACAGACCGTTTTTGTAAAGGGGATTTGTAGCATAAATAATGAAGCTCAGATGGACCAGTAACCAGTCACTGATTGGACGTGGATTACTAGTGACCATACTGATCTGAGCTCTAGAGTTGTGAGTGTCTACAGTGTGTGGATTCAAATTTATCTGTCTGTCTGCAGTTTTATGCATAGAAATTTTAAATGTAGAAGAAATGTAAGTTCCCATGATAAATCTAAGCAGTGATTTACACTGATATTCCTCTAATGTATCTGAATCATCAAAAATCAAAATGAATTGATTCTGAACTTTGTGAATCAAAGCTAAATCACACTGGGAGATCAGTGCCAATACCCAGCCCTCTGACATATCGACACTGTGAGCTGCTGCCAGTCAGACTGCTGGCAGAAATGCATATTTTCAGTAAAGTATATTGATTAAAGTGAGTTGGGAGCTGAAGTTTTTAATTGTTGCCCAGTTTGTAAAGGTAGACCTTGTAATAGCAGAGATATTGACTAGAAGTTTTCCCTCCATTCGGGAACTTGGTTGTATATTTGAGCAAGCATCTCATTCTGGGTCATGATATTGACTCTGAATAGGCTGCTGCATGGAGCATATGAAAGTGAGGGCTGCTTGGGTCGCTAACGTGCCTATCCTTGTGTGGCCATATGGATGACCTGCCACCATTAAAAAAGTAAGAAAACCACTTCCTTTGAAATATGCTTTGGCAAGTTCATTAAGAATTTTGTTTTGTTTTTTTTCTACCAAGATCAATATAAATTGACTTCACAATAATAACAAAAGACTTCAAATATACATGATCATACACCTGCACATGCATGTGCTCATACTTACTCAGAAGAATAATGACACAGAGCAGTATGGCCACTAGAGCTCCAGTTGTGAGACCATCTGAGAAGGGCAGGAACTCAGGGTTACATGACTGCATGTTTCCACGGCTGTCACAAGCACACACACGTACAATCAGTGTACTGGTGCTGCTCTGAATGGGGTAGTCATTGTCTGAGATCACTATAGGCAGGAAGTACATGCTCATCTCATGCCGACTGAAACCGCCCCTCCGTGTCACAATATTGGCAGTGTTATCTGTGGGAAGATGCAAAGGGGCAAATTTTGTCAGTGACAACAGGTTTTTAGTTTTCCTTTTCCCCCCTTTTCCCTTTTTCTCCTGTGACAGGCACTTAATAATAATTTTGGGAGTGCCATTCAGAATTACAGCCAAACATTAAGCATATTAATAAGAACCCATGTTATTTGCTAAAAAAAAAAAAAAACTACAGGAGTCACACGCCGGGGCTAATGTCAGCCAACAAAATCTTAATACTTAGGAGCTATAAAGTTTTATTTTAACATGCATAGATTGTAAAATGTATATATTACCTTCCCTGTCAACGATGGTGAAGTTTGGGTTGTTGGCACTAATGCTAAATACAAACTTGTGTCCAACAAGGGGTTCGTCGGTGTCAACAGCACTTATTGTCTGAATCAGCTGTGAAGAACAGAGCAAACATGAAGAAAACACATGAAATTTAAAATGCAATGCAAAGCAAATTGATGTTCTGTGCTATTTTTCTTAACATCAAAACATTTAATGCATTGTGATTTATTGCCTTACAAAGGAAGACTGCAACTAATATAGTAGAAGAACATACAATAAAAATAAACTAGATTAACTGAAATTAGTGAGGATACTATAGATATTTTAGTTATACATGTGGTGCTAGTGTCAGTGAAGGATCTGCGTGCACCATGCATGGAGGGATCAGTGTGGATAGACACACTTCCAGGGAGTGACTGGTAGATGACTTCTCCCTTTGTTACTCTGTAAAAAAGTCTGTCAAAAGTCTGTGTGCTCATCGTGTATGCTACTAACTTGGCATAGGATGAATTTTAAGCACCTGTCCTGCTTTGACATTCTCACAGACAAATGTGTCGTAGGACATAGCAAACTCAGGGGCGTTGTCGTTGACATCTAACACCTTGATGAACACTGGCACTCGGGTTGTCTGACGTGGATTGCCTGAAATAAAATTCAAAAATCATAATAATTAAGAAGGGGGAAACAGAGATTAGTAGTTGCAACATAAGATATCTGAAAATTGAAATGGCAAATACTTATTTCAGTTGCCACCACAGAGATGTTGTGCCATTTGGACATTTCTCTGTCCAGTGCTTTGAGTGTTGTGATGGTGCCATTGACAGAATCGATGTTGAACAGCCTCTCGAGATCTGTATGCCGATCAATGGAGTATCTAGAACAGTAACGTTAGCACAGCATTTTATTATTTTTATCAACACATATACTTCTTAAGAACTGTCAACACAGACCACATTATGTGTTATCTGCATACATGAAGTATATAGTACACATAGGAGTCTTTGTTCTTGCATAGATTTGTCTCATGAGATACACACTAAAGTACTTAACTTGATAAAAATGTCACAGAACATCATTGTTTCCAAAAGAAAATACATTGTATTCCTTCCACTGTCAAAAGATGATGCATCCTTCCTCCCACCTATTCATTTGTCATAGTCAACTGTCAAACTGCACTGAAATTTGAATATGCAACACAATATGCCATGTGGCTGTGGCCGAGCGGCATATCTCTGTGTCAGCGACAGGCAGACGCCGTATGTGTGGAATGGCCGCACTGAACTGTTTGAATCGATACAGCAAATTAGGCTGTTTCATTTTGACTTTGTGCAGAGCCACAGAGGGCTTACATAATTCTGGGAAATAAACAGTGTCTATATTTGCTTCACAGGGGCGCCGCCATCTTCCACTGGGAAATCACCAAGAGGGAACCATGAATAATATCCTTTTCTTCCTCTCTTCACACTGACACACAGCCAGGCTGATGGATTACATTTAGCCAAGTGGGCACATTTTTATCCTCATTCTAAGAAAACGATAAGAGGTGACTTTATATTTTCATGCCTTGCTGGTTTTCTTATTGATTTTAAAGTAGTAGAATTAAAGCTGCAACAGCATTCACAATAAAGCACTACACCAACATGGTTGGTGAGAAAACCTTAGCCTAACATGTCATTGATTAATTTCTATGTTGACCGGGTATTCAACCCCCAAAGAGAATGGATTTCTTGAAGAAGAACTAGACAATGGATTTGGCATTTGTCTCTAACACTCTGGCACCATTTAGGGTCTAAACACTCGTAGTCTCTTGTCACTTACTTGACTGGCTTGTTGTCAGCATCAGGGTCCCTGGCTGACACCACACCAACGAAGCTGCCAGCAGCTGTGTCCTCATGCACCTCGATGATGTAAGGATTCCTGGTGAAAACAGGGGGCTCATCCACATCCTCTACTGTAACCTTGACTGTAGCATAGTCTTTGAATTGCAAACCGTGAATGAACCTTGCATCCAAGTAGGTGTTTTTCACCTCCACTCTGAACTCGTAGTCCCTCTTACTTTCATAATCCAGTGCCTGGAGATGAAAGAGCATCAGATGTCAAGCTGTAGACTTCTTCCACGATTCGCATTTCATTTGTCAGCCTTTATTTTATTCATACTCTAAAGTTACAAATCCAAGTGAAGAATACTGCATTTCTGGCAAAGGGGTGTTTTATATTACTGATCTTATCTCATTTTACACTGCAGTTCAAAAATAAATTCCGCCATTTTTCTGGCATGACTACATGCTACCAGGGGACTCTTTCTAATCTGAAACTAAACTACTCCATCTTTCAGTTGAAGCACAACGTACATATTAAGGTGGCTTAGATTTAATTTAAAATAAACACAGAAAAATTCCTTAAGCCTGAAGGATTAAATTATCTTTAAATAAGTCATGATTTGTATAATCTGGGTACTAGGTAGGATTTGGGATATCTAAAAATAATCTCTCATAAAATTAAAATAAAATAAGGATCTTTCATTCTTGTCCTTGATGTATTAGATGAAATGTATTTTGTTTAAACTGCCAAACACTTGGCAGTTAAATGTTCAAACATGACCATTTCTTGAAAACAGTAAAACTGTTCACTGGATGAAAATATATCACTTGTCAGAAGAAGTGATTTTTCATTCTGTTTCCACTTCTAGTCCTGTGTTCCACACCCTCCACACCTGTCTGAGTTCCTTGTCAAGTGAAATGGCTTCTGATGTTCTCATTTCTGACTTCTGTTTGTTTCTGCCTGCTCCGACTCACAGTCAGTCTTGTCTCCTTGTGTTTTAATTAAACTGTTAAGCTTGCCAGCCTGCCTGTCTGTGTGTCTGCATCTGGGTCCTATTCCTCCATTTGCCATTTTCAGAAAACGTGGCAGAGGGACAAAAGCGTATTTATTACCTTTTTGATTAGGATGAGTCCCTCTTGTGTGGTTTGGTCAGTGATAATGTTGAATATGTCATGACCACCGACAATGCTGTATTCCATCTCAGCATTCCGCCCGATGTCTGGATCATCAGCTTTAATATGACCAATAGCACCTCCGATCTCAGTAGACTCCACAGCAGTCACACGAAAGGAATCTATATGTGACAGTGAATGAGGCAAATTTGTGTTGTTTGTGTGAGGTTGTCTTATGAGTACATATGAGTGATTTGTCTTTCTCACTGAGATTTGTGACAAAAGTTTTTTAATGTTTAAAAGTCCACTATGAATCAGTACAAAACATGAAGAAGTGGCCTTTTACGGTTTGCAAAGCGGGGCGGGCTGTCGTTCACATCAGACAGGGTGATGCTGACTGTGGTGGTTCCTGAAAGCCCACCCATCTGTCCAGCCATGTCTTTAGCCTGAATCACAACCTGGTAGTTTTCCTTCACTTCTCTGTCCATGCCAGGAAGGGCCGTCTTGATGGTACCTGAATAAAAAAACAACATGCTTTGAGGCACATTTTCCAGTTTAAAGGTAAAATTAAATTTGGTAATTTACAGTAATTTACTATTTTACTAAAAAGTAGATAAGATTAAGATGAATTCCTTGTTTGTGCTCAGCCATGTCTCCTAGAAAATTTGATTGGTATACTATTAAAAAACATGTGATTGCTGCCTAGATTATCTTCCATGGTAACATTTGCTAGTGTCACAGTTGCTACAATTATGTAGTAAAATGCAAATCGTGGGAGGTAGTCAGATTTGATGATGGGCATAAATAAGTGCAAGACATCCTCAGTCTTGGTTGTTTAACCATA